AGTAAGGAAGTGGTATCCGTGAGGATGCTCAGGGCAGACCACCTCAGCAACGAGTGGAAGGAGAGCTTACAACGTGCACAGCAGGAAGACCCGGACATCAATCCGATTCTGAAATGGATGAAGGCCAGTGCTCCCAAGCCCAAGTGGAGCGACGTCTCAGCGATGAGTTCGACCACTAAAAGCTATTGGGCCCAGTGGGACAGCTTGCTGCTTCAGGATGGAGTTCTGTGCCGTAAATGGGAAAATGTTCGGGGAGACAGCTGTCATTTGCAAATGGTTGTCCCTAAAGCTAAGGTATCGGATGTTCTACAGCTGTACCATAATGATTATTCAGGAGGTCATCAGGGAGTTAAACGAACTCTACTGAAGATCCGAGAACGGTTTTACTGGGTCCACTGTCGAAATGATGTCGAGGACTGGTGTCGCAAATGTACAAGTTGTGCGGCTCTAAAGGGACCTCAGACTCGCAGTAGAGGTGCATTGAAGTTGTACAATGTTGGTGCACCATAGGAGAGAATAGCCATTGACGTGGCGGGGCCGTTTCCGGAGAGTGAAAGCGGTAACAAGTATTTCATGGTTGTGATGGATTACTTCACTAAGTGGCCAGAAGTCTTCGCCATTACAAATCAAGAAGCTTCAACAGTTGCTGATAAACTAGTTCATGAAGTCTTCTGTCGTTTTGGAATACCTTTAGAGATTCACAGCGATCAAGGAAGGAATTTTGAGTCTCAAATATTCCAGGAAACTTGCCGAGTTATGGGTACTCATAAAACAAGAACGACTTCTTATCACCCGCAATCTGATGGAATGGTAGAACGATTTAATCAGACATTGGAGAGGTACCTAGCAAAAGTTGTAGACAACCGGCAACGAGATTGGGACAAGCACATACAACCGTTTTTGTTGTCATATCGAAGCACTGTTCACGAAAGTACAGCAGTGACACCAGCTTTCGCAAACTTTGGAAGAGAATTACGGCTGCCTGCAGACCTGATCACCGGAATACCACCTGATGCCCCACGCAGTATAACCGATTATGCAAATGACTTGCGGAACAAAATGAATGACATTTACGAGCACGTCAGATAATCCGGCCAGCAAATGTCAGAAAAGATGAAAACCCGGTATGACCGCAAAATGAACAACAAAGGGTTCGACGAAGGTTCGCTAGTGTGGTTGCACAATCCAGTCCGCAGCAAAGCTAAATCTCCTAGCTTATATGGGCTGGATTGAAAACGATGTAACCTACCGGATACAGAAAGGCGCAAGAGGGACTCCTAAGATCGTCCATGTGGATCGCCTGACGCGTTATTATGGGGCCGATAATGCTCGGGACGAGCATGTCTTAGGAGGGGGCAGTGTTGCGCGGCTAAGTTGACATCTCATCTCATGGCACTAGCGCCATCTAGTGTCGGGTAACAGAGCGAGGAGAGAGCTTTCCAGAAAATGACATGACTAATTTTTTTAACCGACAGCGACATCTAGTATCAAAATGGAGAACTAAACTTTCTAGAAGCTCTACACTCGAACTTTCTGCGCTTGGTAGGTTGGCGCGCGTATTTACTCGAATATTCTGGAATATTCTGAATGTTTTCGTGGAAGAGCCCTATATAAAGGCGCTGCAATACGCGATCGGGGAAGTGTTGAAGTTGGCGAGACAAGCGAAGCTTCGGAGCGGAATAAAGTGAATCAGTGTGATTAATTATTAGTGTTTTTGACTTTAATTAGTGTAAAGTGAATTAAAGTGTTAATTTAGGTAATTCTATCGGCAATTTTTATTGTCACGAACCTCAAGCTCGTAACAATACGTTTCCTAATCGCTCATTATTCGCGAACTACACAAAACTAGTTTGACAAGACTAGTTCATATGAAAGCAAAATATTTTAAATTTTATACAACAATCAAATACTTACCAATCACCAGATTGGCAAACAACGAAAGCGGCGCGAGCCACTTAAGGTGTCTTATTAAGCATATTAAAATTATTGGTATAATCATACATGCCATGTAAACTCGTAGGTTAGGATATCCTAGAAAAGAAAAAAATGTAATTTAGGTAAGAACTTGAGGTGTTCCCAGTAGTCTTACTAGTAAGACTGGTAATTTGCTTACTAATAAGACTGGCAATTTCCTTACTAGTAAGACTGGCAATTTTCTTTCCAGTGGTCTTACAAATAGTCTTAAAAAGTAAGACAACTGGAGATTTTCTTAC